GCACGTCAGTGCACAGCAATAGCAAATCTATGCTGAGAAGCCATTTTTCAACTTATGATTTAAAAAATTCAAAAACATGTAACAACATAATTTTTTCACAGATATTTCAGTCATTCTTTTAACCCACTATACTTAAAATCCTGTGGGTGTGGGTACTATTAGGGAAAGTATTTATTTTATTTTTTTAAAAAGGGATGTTTTTGACACCGCGCAAATTGGGCCAGTGGGTGTGTGCAATCACCACGGACAATACTGCACTAAATATCCCGGCAGATTGGAAAAAACTCCCCTGTAAAAAATGGACTTGCCACCAATGTTTCATTCACTGGATTTCAATGACCTTACCATATATGGTACCTGTGACCTTTCCCTGGCTACCCCAGCAACAGGTACATCGGAATTTTGTTTCTACACGAAGTTACATTGAGTTGAATGAATTTTCAGAAAATGCTCATAAATCCGTAAATATTGCCCGATTTTCAAATCCTAAACTGGTTTTCAGTAGTTTAACATCCATAGTTTCTTGCCACATGCTCCGATTTTTAATCCATCGAGTGAAACATTACTGGAAATTGCTGCGAAAGTTCAGCTCATCATTTTATTCAGCAAATGCAAGCATCTACAAAGCTCAAACTTTCTACAGTTGTTTTATATAGATCAGGAAGTTAGGTGAGAAGGAAAAAAAATATATAAACATTGTCTAATTTGCATAACGGTGTTGCGAATATGTAATTAGCTAATTATCAGCTCATTTGCATAATTAATTAGTTTTCATAAATCTTATTATATAAATGGATAGGGATTCATTAGTTGAAGCTTGCCACAAAGTTGTATCAAACAGACTCATTTAAAACTTGAGATATTGCATTTACGCATAATTAGCTGGACTTAGTCGTTTTTTGAACATTTCCAAACCTGCGGATTGGTGAAATTGAACAAAATGTGGTTTTTGTCAATCCGGTGCACCAAAATGCAACAAGTCTGGTTCTTGAATTTTATTTTTCATGCTTATTTCACTTTGGTTTCACAATACATATCATTTTTAAGACCATGTAATACTCTATTATGTCAAAAAAACACCCTTAAACATGTAAAAAAATCCATTTTTGCCATAATTTGCTATTTGCGGCAGGTTTTTGAATGATTTTACGATATCTTCAAAAGACCATATCTCAGGAATGCCTTGACAGAATTTGAAAATTTTTGCAGCAAAATAAATATATCATTGATATCTTTAATATGACACCAAAATAAAGAATGTCTTATGTGTATTATTTTTTTGAGTGCTCTACCTAATATTAGCAACGAAGGCATATCCATTAATTTAATGCATTACGAAAAAGGGCTCTTAATGGCTGGGGTCATTTTCGAAAGTGGATATCATTGGCGTCCTTAAGCAAAAGAAATTCAATTAGGTCCATTCAGAACAGCTAAATTAAATGACTCGGCATAATGCTAGCACTAGAGAAGCATCGCCCAAATTTGTTTGTTGTTGATTGGCTATAAGAGAAGACGTTTTCAGAAGACTCTTGTTGTCATTACATAATAAATGGGATATGCGCATGACAGCGTTGTGCTAATGATTCATAAACTGGGATAGAAAATATGAAAGCATCAAATAAAGAGGCCCCTGACCCAGTTTTAGTGGGGTGTTTTTTAATGAAATGTAGGCCCCATGATCACTCGCTATTGGACCTCTATTTCATATTCTCTCATTCTTTGAAATGACCCGAGATGTTCTTTTTCTGTTGTTGTCTAAAACATTTCTATACATTGCATTTTCGAAATATCAAACCCTCAACCAAAATAACAGGAGATGTGAAATATATTGGCTATGCAATCATTCGGCTCACGACACAACTTTTACCTGCCTATAATATTTATCCATGCTTCTGATATTTGGTTTTCCAGCTCTAATGTTTTGTTATTCTTGGAAAGCGGACTACCGAGTGACTAATTGCTCAGAATAACACAAGCTGATAAATTCATCATCCACGTCTCTAATCTACTTCGTGAAAACTTCATATAAAAGCGTAAAAATTGCATGTATTTGAGTTTCTTATGGGGCGTTGCAAGAAAGTTGCGATTGGTTGCAAGTTGCAAAATTTGCAACTGTATTTGCAATCGATTGCAACTCAACTTTCTTGCTAGTTTCCTAATTTTCCTAGGATTTGGTAGGATTAGATCTAGCTTTTATTCTCTCTCTCTTTCTCTCTCTCTCTCTCTCTCTCTCTCTCTATCTCTCTCTCTCTCTCTCTCTCTCTCTCTCTCTTTATCTCTCTCTCTCTCTCTCTCTCTCTCTTACTAATGGGACGTTGCAAGGAAGTTGCAACGTCCCATAAGTCGGTTCTATACTCTCTCTCAGAATTGTAAGTTTTCGATAAGGAAGTTCAGCTGTCTTCGTGGTCATAATCTCATCGCCCTGTAGGCTTCGATTGCCCTTCTGTACTTCTCATGAACTTCACCTTCTCGACAGGATTAATTTACACCACTCCTGCCCCTGGCTCTGCAACCTCCATGCTCGGAAACGGTTGCCTAGCAACGGGAGTGCCTCCTAGTGATGTCCCGTCCGTGTCCATGCTATCGTTTACTGCGTTTATTGATATTTTATCCCTCTCCCATGTTTTTTTTTTTGGTTTTAATCTAAAGCGATGGCCGAAGAAGTTAGTTGTTTTGGGGGTTAAATTTCATTTCTTCTATTACATAATATAGCTCTCTGTTATAAACTCACAATTGAATGTTATCATTTTTAGTTTACAAGGAAAATTGATTATGAACTTGTTTCGGATTTCTTTAAGATTACTTTCAACCCTATTTCTCCTTCTAATATGACAGCATGATTATTGGTGGGTCATTAAACATGAAACCCCTCTGTATTTGTCATACAATTAAGGGTCCAATTTCGATAGGGGCTGACATCTCATGCCCGAATATCACATTGTTGACAGTTTATTATAGTGAAAATTTAATCAAGAATCTAGGCTAGCTGTCCAAATGTGAGAATACTGTCGCCGCAATTTGGATATTGGTAATAGCCATATTTTGGAGGGTTACAACCCTCAGTCCCCGCCTCTTACGCCTTTAGTCTTGCTCGTTTTTCCCTGCTCCCATAGTAATTATATTATGTCTCGTATACTAGATTTCTGTAGCTCTGCTAATGTATCACTGCATTACACCGTTCGTGTAACTGTAGTGGTGGAAAGCAATATGGGGACTATTTGAACCAGTTTAAATGTGAGAGACGCGCTGCACTTTAAGAGGTACAAGAGGATAAATTTACACATTTTAATGGGTTATACCAGGGAGGTCATATCACCTCCCTGGTTATACGATAACGCATAACATTACCTCTGGCCTGTGTGGGTATATGTGCATAATTTCACCGGGCGTGACGGCTCTGGCCCAAAACAGCGGGGAAAAGAAAAATTAATGGGGAAGTGACACAATGAGTATTTTATTATGTATACATTAATTTTATAGCATATTTCATTAAATAGTGTTAGTGAATTATACTTTATAAGATAAGATATAAATATAATATCACAATAGATAACCTCGTTGCCCGAATATCAGAAATGTCAAATTTACTGTTGCCCCTTCCCATATACGTTTACAGTAATACTAATTGAAATGGATTGCATAGTAGAGGATTATTGATAAAAGAAATAATATTGAACATCAGGGAGGTGAATGCCTTTTACGAATGTGACAACAAAAGAGAGGGGAGGCTCGGAAGTTGGGAATAATAACAAAAAAGGGACTAAAAAAGAGAGAAGCCGGAGAAAGAAGTCGGAAGATCGAATGTAGTATTGGAAGAAATATACAGTATGAAACTATTGATTGTTCTTCCAAGTCCCATTGGCGTATAAGAAATTGTATCTCAAGCTCTGCATTGGGCTGCATTGTTACCTAAACCCTCTTCCATTTCCATCCACCTCCCTGTCATTGTTATGAGAGGTATGTAATCTAAAAACAAACGACTGGACGGCATCCCCATCCCACGGCCAAACACCCCCACCCGCCGGGGAGCGTTAGATAGAACCGGTCTCTGGTTTCAAGTCAAATTATATCGGATGACCGCGGGCTATCCGAATAATCAATTACGAAATTGGCTTCCACGGGTGTCTGCTGGTACCCGATGCGCAGCGGATACCCGCGGGCTGCGTTATGGCATGCGTATCCGACTTGTTTACAGGATATACGATCGGCATGCGGCGTTTGATTTACCCGTTCGGTTGGGTTAGGATACTTGAGCCGAACATACAACATGATAACGATAAGAATAACAGTGAATATTCAGTGATGTGGAGTTGTTTTCTTTCAAACTTTTTGCTACTTCTTGGTGTTAGAAAAGAAAAACTGTATAAAAAAAAAAAAACTACCATTTGTTTTTCTTCTCGATCATCGTTCGATTTAAACATATTATTTCTTCTTTTCTTCTCCTAATATTTAACAATTCCACTCAATAATATTTTTTTAAATTCTTAGTAACCTTTCTTTTTCTTTTCATTCACCTCTAATTTCTCTGCTACAATGATGCCTTCTATCCTCATATTATGGCAAAATCATAAACATTATCACCACCACTATTTGCATATAACATCGTCATCCTCCCCCCCCCCCCTCCTCATCACCATACACATCACTGCTACCAACATCATCTTTAATAAAGTCTTTGTCTTTAAATACACCATCAACATCATCACCATCATCATCTTCGCCACCATTACCATTATCATCATCACTTTCACCATATCACATCATCAGCATCATCATTGCACACCATTACTACCACAAATATTATTGGTAACATCATCATCACCATCAACCTCGCCACGAACACCCATCGTCATCACAACCAACATCACCATCAACATCACCCTACTTCCCATCATCATCATCCTTATTTACATCATTTTCACATTTTCCATATCTCATTTTCTCTATAATTCAGAAAATCCCCTCTTTATCAACTTCAAAGGAAACATGTAGACTTTCAATTTCCATTTCATCATGGTCATTTATATTCATTTTTTACACAAAATTTCCGGGAAAAAACGTTACAATGTAAGTCAGTACGAGACGATGATACACCCTCATCTGTTTCTGTAATATATATATATATAGATATAAATATACTCTTCTATAGTTTCCAAAGTTACAAGAAATTAGGATCAATTAGCCCTTTCAAATGTACAAAGCTCCAGTTCTTTCAAAAACAAAATCATATATATCATAGCAATGAAAAAAGCAAATTATACAAAAGATGTATAAACACAAAAATATATGTTTCCGATTAATAATCACTGTGTAAAAATGTATAAACAAAAGCAAACAACCGTCTAAATATGCATCATTTCAGAAATAAATGCTTTTACAAATAATGTTCAAAGCTTCAGTGAGAATCTCGATAAAGTCAGGGATACAGAGAATAAAACAAGTTACAAGTTGCTGAAGTATATAACAAGAGAAAAGGATAGTGACAAATGAAAGTACTACATAAAGGTTAACTAATATGGGCACCCTCACGCCTCCGAGCATCAACTTTATACCAACTGTTATTTTTGTAAATTATTTTTGTTAAAGCAAACGTTCGGTATTAATGACCAAATAATATCATCCTATAAATCACTCCTGTCAATTCTTAAAGCTTTAAAATCTGATTAGGTAGCTTTTGGTTGGTAACAGATGCATAGCATGAAACTTCTTTCATTTACAGCATTCATAATATAAATCTAAATTACTTTTTGTTTCAATCTGAAATTAGGGTGGCAACCTGACCATGCAAGCCTTTTACAAAATAATCAAAGCAATGCTAAAACAGAACAAATATATCTCTCTTTTGATACCACTCAAAGTACTAGGCATCAAGATTAATAATACTTGGGGTATTTCTATATCAAAAACAAGGTACGTATAACCCTCATATCATATTCTGAGGCAACAGGTGAACACGCAGTGGCCATTTGGGCACTTGCGATAACATTGGCAGTTTTAAATGGTACACGAAAATGTAGATACTAAGTACTAGTACTGCTTTACGAATGTAGATGCATCATCTTCAAATACTACAGCATGTGATTCATATCAATAATATACTATCCTTATCTCACCTTACCCCCGATGTTCCCAACAAAACTGACTCAAGACTGAAGTGCACAATGTATTCTAGCGATGATGAAATCTGCATGTGAAGATTCATTAAAAAAAGTTTAATAATTGCCAAACATTTGATGATTATACACAGGGAACTTTGTGTTAACATAGTACTTTGGGGGATCTTTGAACCATGATATTATGGTCAAACATGCAACATTACAAAACTGGTTGACTTCACAATTTCCTTTACAGAGTTAAGGGAAGCAACAGTTTGGTGATGTTGAATTGTGGAGTGAAATTATTGACACCTCTGTTGCTGTCTGTGACTCAAATTTTCAGTCAGTGTGTGGCTCCTTCCACTAAGGCAGCAAAACTCATGAATTTTGAATTATTTTTGTCAGATTAAACTTAGAAAATCACAATTACATGAAACCATGATTATTACGTCCTTATGTGCTAATTTAAATTAACTTCACAAGATCACTGTGACACTGAATGTTACATTTCATTTTTTTGTTACACTGGTTTGGTTTTACCAAAGTTTAATTTGCACAATAAAAACTGTGTCTTATAAATAGTCATATTAAGAGAGGACAAAAATCCTTTGTAAAGGAAAAACAACCATCTTCAAACAAAAATATAGTTGGTCTATAAACGACTATGTAATCAAACCAACAAAAATATCCCCAAATAGGTTCACAGAAAAGGGATGGTTTAGATGAATGCAGTTTCAGGCAAAAGATTTGAAATATTGTTCAGAGTTTTGCCTTCATTTCACTAAAAGCAAACACGACAACCAAAAGTATAATGCAACTCAATGAATACAGGACAAAATCCCAAACTTCTGGTCCTCTCTCTCGACATGCATACAGGTAATGATTAAGTTATTAACTAGCATAATTGTGTATCACCCATTTTTCAATAGCCATTTCGAATTGTGCCTATCTCTCTACCAGTACATGTATATAAGAGATGAATTATATTTTTGTTCCTATTATGAGAAAAGAGTAAAATGCAAGTTAGTGTTGGGCGAGGCGCAATCTACCATGCCATATATATGCAAGTGTTATGTTTGAGATATATTCTTTACACAAAGGCACCTCACAAATCTATATTTTCTACGAGTGTTTAGAATAATATTGTCATGCGGCTGGCAGAACAGCACAAGCATGTCGCACCTTTCTGCTAAATGAGAGTGTGCACCATTGGGTTAAGCAAAGGGTGGTTAGCAGTTAAATGCCTGCAACTTAAAAAAAAAATCTTTCTAACTCTGGTGGACCTTCGGTATTGTAGACCTTAGGTTAACTTTGCTGAACCCAGATTTAAAAAAAATGGAAAAGAAGATGATTTAAACTTGTCGTTTTAGTTATAAATACAGCATAAATGTCAATGATATTTGTGCAAATAATTTATACACAAAGCATTGCAACGATGAAAGTCAAACAACACACCGGATACTAGTCTTATGATTATATAAAATATCATGATATAGATATCTAGTACTTTTTTCGTAAACACAATTTAAGCGCATTTGATCTCAAGATAAAATTTCAACTGCTTGGTTTTTTATGATTTATCATTATGAAGGGGAGCTCTATGTACACTATGGTTCACCAAATCAAAAATTTCAGCATCAAATAAAAATACTGTATTTCATGGACGATTTACAAGTATCGAGGCCGGTTTCAAATTCCCTGTCAGTGTGTTTGTACTCAAACGAGGCATTTTATCTACAGTTCTACTTCTACTTCTTAAAATGCAACACGTCCTGGCAATGGCTGCTACAGCTAAAGTCAAGGCAATAATAATTTCCAAAGCACTTTAAACATGTATAGACGAGATGAGACACAAAACAGGGCTCGACAACGACAGGCGCCCGGGATACATGGACACCCAATATCTAAGTCCCTCAAATTTTGAAATTTTTACGTAGGGGTCACGCATACAGACTGTAGAAAAAGAAAAATTCCAAACCCCCTGCCAAAAAAGATATTGTTGAGCCCTAAATGATGAGACATGTACAATAGACATAGAAAATTATTTTTAGGTAGCTCTCATCTGATTTTTTACTTTCTTATGAAAGGTCGAGTATGTTATTTTCCATCAGGAGTTGGCATGTCCTTCCGAAGTTACATAAATGACCCACGCAATGGCATAAGGGGGATTTAATTATTTTTTAAATGATGTCAAAGGATTTAGGTTATAGCAAAGAAGGCCTACATGTACACTGCAGAGAAAGTTATCTCAAAATTGTGCCAAAAACGTGCAATGAATCATTTCTGATATTTTTTTCTGCAATATTTAAATCTCATCTCACACATTACATTAGAACACAATGATTTAAACAGTGGGACAAACAGGGCAACTATCTTTAACCTCACTTAAAGGCAGTAAGTCCCTTTTGCAGACTTGTGCAAACTCCATGAAATTCCATGCCGTGGCTCTGTGGTACAGCAGTTGTCTCTTGGCAGTCAGGTAAAACAAACCATCAAGTCGAACTTGTAAAGCGTTTGAATTATATCCTTCAGTTATCTTGCGCAAAATTTTACAGTTGTAGGTTCTGAAACTTCTTTTCACATGTAAGTAATGCAAATCTAGCACTGTTTTCATATTGCTGCAAAGGAAGGTATTCTCAATTCAACAGATATAACGGTCTAATTAAGTACAAATTTTCTATGGGTCTCAAAAATAAATATCTGGAATTAAAATTCAAAATTTGCTAGTTGAAAGCCAATTTTTCATTTGGGGTGGAGGTTCCTAATAATGGACCTCGTCAATATACCACTAGATTCATCGAACTTCAGGTTTTTAGGTCTGCAAAAGAGACAACAAACCATCTTTAAGTTCATAACTGTAAGGCTGATAGAGATTTATACCACATAATAGAATCATTACATTGAAGTATTAGAACCACTTCCTTGGTCTACTTTTTGTTTCAAAATAATGTGTGTAACTGTGTATGGAGTTCACAAAATAAAATCAGATATATAAAATGTTAACCCGCAAGGAAAAGCACCCCAAAATATACTAAATCAAGAGCTATATATATAATTCATACAAAAATTTGAAATTCAAATATAAAAAGTGAGCTTAATCTATAAACGCTTGCCAACCCATTCAGCAGTGGGTCTAAACAAATCAGAGATTCAAATAAAACAAATTGGACTTCCAGAGACAATTAGCAGGTGGTTAGATAGAAAACACCTCAACAGTTCATTGACAACATCATAAGGATATTATATGTGTTGTGGGTCTTCCCATCGGTGTAGAGACTTCACAAAATACGGTGCATAGAATCCATAAAAGATGTGGTCATCACACCAACTTCCCATTGTTTGTTTTTGTTTGTTGCAAACATGAATAATTATTTTTATCATTGAACTCCTCTTTCTGTTGATCTTATACATAACATCCATAACTTTTCCATTTTTGCCCTAGATGATATAAGTTTTGTTTTATCCCTTTGGTTCAGTTCTATAAGAGTTTTACCTATAAATTTGCTGAATGTTCCATTATATGTTCCAAAATCACTCCAATAACTTCCATTAGGACGATAGACCCTCTCCAAATCTTACTCCTTCATTCACGTGCACAGTAACAATTGCAATGTTTTCCTGCGATGGAAAAGTAAAACGTGTACTGGTGAGAAGCTTCGCACATGGCTTCCTAGCCAGATCCCTTATGGTGTCTTTCAGATTGTTTGAAGTGATTCAATGAATACCGACATACAAATCTACATGGTCGAAGCCGCAGGTGAAAGCACATGAAATAAATTGTATTCACTAAAGCATCCGCTTGCTTTGGGTGAGGGTTCATTTAAGTTATGATGAGGCAAGGAGCATAGTTTCATCATCATCATCTATGAAGGTGGAGTCCTCATCATGGTCTAAAGCATGTGAATTTGAAAGATCAATGGGTGCATCGTCACTTCTGGAGCTTCTGGAGCTGGGCGAGGGAGATGGAGGTGGCTGGGGTGAGTTGGAGGAGCTAGGCTTGTGGTCTGAGGCACCGGATGATGATTCATTTCTCTCTGCGGTACCCTGGACCACCGCAACACTCCCGTCTGCGGATGATGTTGAATGGTGGTTAACCGCATTGTCCCGTTCGGGAGAATGATCATCTTCGCTAGTGAATGAACTCTCTTGCGTGTTCGGTGGAGTGCATGTGCCGTCCGGGCCGGCCAGGGTGGGAGGGGTAGCGCCGGTTGGGGAGTTTGCCCCGCTGTTCTCACCCTCCCCTCTATGCTGGTTCTCCCTGGTGCGGTTGACGCGCTGGATGATGTTCTGCAAGCCGCTGCTCGATCGCCTTCTCGTCTCCCCGTCCGATGCACCTTCTCTCTGTCGGTTCGTCACAGAATCCACAATGTTCTGTAATCCCCCTGCTAACCGCATACGACGTATATTAGTTGCCGCCCTGATGATCTCATGATCTCGATGCTCCAATTCCGCCTCTGCGTTTGTATCAGAGTCGGTATCCGTCGTACAACTACTTGCCGTATCACCACCAAGGTTCGGCCTCTCCCGTAGCTCTGTGATTTCTGTATAAGGGGAAGAACCATCATCGGCTGCGTCTGATGACGGAGGATTTTGTTGATTAGGAGGACTAACCGTAGTACTGTCAGTTGTAGAGATTGTGTCCTGAGTTGTGTTTATGCTATCTGGAGAGCTGGGTCTGTTTGCGTTTGGCGGCTGTGGTGTTTCCCCTCCCTCCGGCTGTGAGTTGTTCCTTCTTCTTGAGGACCTACCGGTCCCGTTGTTACCCTCCCCAGCTCTGGCTTGCGCGGCGGCTTGCAGACTCTCGATGAACGCCCGCTGCGCCTCGTCGAAGTGGGGCGAGGACATGCTGGCCGTGTAGGAGGGAGGAGCCTCTCGTCTCATCAGCTCATCCTCTATCTCACTGAGGGGGGAGACGTGGGTGGGAGGATGGGGGTCGCTGTGGTACAGCTGGTAGAGCTTACAGGTGCAGCTGAGGGCAGCTATAAGCAGGAGACCACACACTATGGAACCAACTACAGCTGCTGTGATCACCTTAGGGGACATTGCTGAATAGGACAGCGATAAGAAGAGAAATGAAAATCATGTGTTTAGTACCATCTGCTAAGGTAACGCATGAAAAACTCATAGCAGCTCAGAAGGGGGAATTTTTTATACAACAACATCTTAAACATTTGGCATACATTCAGTATTGTTTGAGGCATTTTGGTATCAATATTCAATACTTTGGGCTTTAATACCAACAACAAAAAGTTTTTTTCCGTGTAAGCTGACTCTTATGACTACCGGTGCTTAAAAATGTCAATGACAACATACAAAACATCCTTAACCAGGGATACATTACATTTAATTGGGTCATAAAGGTTACTTACGACAATTCATTTCATCTGTGTTGTCTGGGCAGTCTACATTGGAGTCGCATATCCAGTTCTCCTTAATACACTTGCCCATTCCACAGAGGAAGAGGCCATGCTCTCCACTACATAGCGATGCAGGGCAGTCCAGTTCATCCTCTTTACCTAGAAGAATTATGAATAAGTTCATTGATCATTAATTTTGTATTTTTAATTTAATTAGTTTATTAAAAAATCAACATGACATGCAGCTCAAGACCGATATTGTATGTTTTACAAAACATTCAGATATTCACAATGTAATAAAACAGTGTCAAAGTCAAAATACAAAAGCAGTACAATAAAATAACAATGGCAACATCACACAGTTTGAACTAGATAAATGGCGCCATACAAGTGCTGTGGATCATCATCATCATCATCATCACAGCAATATCATAAAAGATTTAGAAAAATATATCAAAGATGCGGATAAGTAGCCACCAAACCAATCAAGGCAATGTCATTAAATATTCAACACTTCAGTGTGAGTCCCATTCACATTTGGGCTTGTTCATTGTAAGATACACAGTCTATTATACAAATATACACTGCCTTGAGAGGTTGTGGTTAAAACTATGCGCAAGAGGTGACTCCAATAGTACTATTTGCTAAGGGGCGCAGCCCCGAAGCAAATGGTACTTTTGGAGTCACCAAGGCCCATAGTTTAACCAGTACCTCGAATAGAAGGCATGGTATATTTGTTTTATATCCTGCATCAAAAATTTATTTAAAAAAAAAAAAAAAAACATTTTTGAGAAACAAATTTTTAGAACAAAAAAAATGTCAATTTTTATCTAGAAAGATTTAAAATATTTTGTTTTCATTAAATTAAGATTAAAAAAAAAAATTGATTCAATTCAAAAAAAAATTTCACATTTTTTTTCTAGCTCCCAAATAGTAAACCAAAATAGTACTCTCATATAGTACTTTCTAAAAATAGGTCAAATATTTCTGGTCATGTGACGAGCTCTCAACCAATCAAAAGCCAACACATTTTTGATGCAGGATATAAATTCAAATATGCCAAGTTTCACTATATTCATGTACGCCAAGTTTCACTATTTTCTCTATCACTTTTTTGTTGAGATCCAGGTTGAGGTTGAAAGCAAAACGTTGTTTAAAGCACTGACCTGAACAACGTGGCTGACCGTTGCACCTCTCCAGACTGTCGTAGCATTTCAATGGTAGATCAGAGGATGTAGAACATGGTATGTCACCCTCTGGACAACCATCTGTTGGTCAAGGAAAGAAGAAAATACAGAGGTCAAAAGACCTAGATCTACTCTTTCAAGACTACAGTTGCATTTCACAGAAAAGCTAATCTCAACACATAGATGAATGAATGAAAATAAGTAATGTTCTGGGGGTAAACAGACACAAGTGTGGGCAAAACCGCCCCTACGCATACTTACCTATGCAATAATGTATTATTCTATTATTGCAAATTATGTCCTGAAGTATGTTAAACTTTAACTTATATGTATTTTACTTTCTTTCTTGAATTACTTGGTGGTCGTATGCCCACAATTATACAATTTCAACACAACTGGGCCAGGAGTGTCATTTTTGACAGACATGGCGCATTATAAATGTTCACTATTATTATTATTATTATAAGCAATACAGAAATGAGAAGTGTACTACATTATCAGATTTCAATTCGCCACAAGATTTTTTTGTTTAATCAGTCTTCGATCTCACATCAGTGTGGGCCATTACAGAGGTCTAGAACCTATTGCTGGAAGTTTATTGGGAAGCATATTCCTCATCATGTTCTGCAACTATTTCTTTTCAACTTCAAATTCATGTCAAGGACTTCAGACTTTATCTGCAACTGTTCTCTCTAAAGCATTTTTTTCCTGACTCTTTTCTGACATCCTACCATAGGAACCTGATACTTACTGCAACCTTGCTCTTGCTATCTCAATTATGATCTTTAGATAATATATTTTCCTTCAATAATGAACTATCAAAAAATGTAAATTCTGTAGATTTGTGACCATGATTTATTCATCCCTTGAGAAACCAATGCCAGGAATGGTTAGAAGAACTAGTGGCATGAATGGCCTGCCATAGTTAAGTCCAACTTAAATTTGATCTTAGTCTTTGTGAAACACCCTCCAGATACTTACTGCAACCCTGCTCATCTTCCCCTCTCAGGCACGTCATCTTGCCATCACAGCGCTCATTCTCAGCATAGCAGTTGCTGTCTGTTGCACTGCACGTACGTTGATCATCGATGCAATCACCTGATGCAAAACAGAAGAATCATGATACACGTCAAAGCTTTGTTTGTATGCATTTCTTTTGTGTCCATACAAACACATCATAAAAGTTTACCTAATGTGACTTTGGTTTATAGTGCAAAGCCTTAAGAACAAGTTCAAAGGAGATGTATAACTTAATCACTACCCTTCCCCTTTCTGCAGTGTAAATCACAGTCTAAGATTCGGAGACAGTTTGTGTTTTAAATCCAAATCAATCAACTTTTCTTCTTCGATTAGCTTTTTCATGTAGTTTTATGCAGTAGTTAAGTGTTTTACATCACACTGTCCTTTAATGGGATTAAATACAGCAAAATGATAGGGCTGCAGTGTATTTTATAAAGAAAACTTAGCAATAGAAATGGCAACAACATCCCTATAAAGCCTATCTGCACTAGTTTGACCAGGAGGGATCTAGTCACTGACAGGTGGTTATCTCATCAACTCAGCTCTCAATTAACATAAGAAAAAGGAGACCCTGGGGGACCAACGGTCACCGCTTAGGCATTGTTTTCTACATAGAGGGCCTAAGTAGTTATAAGTAGTGCAGTGGTGCTTTACATGAATAATAATATTCCTACATGTAAGTAACATTACTCTTCTTCTTCTGCATCTGTCTGTCTCGAAAGACAATAGAATATTGCACTAGTTGTACTTGTAACATTACTCACAAACGTAATAAATGCACAATGAGGACGTTGAGTCAACTGTCCCCTCTTACCTTTACTCTGGTAGGTTGCATTGAAGCCAGTGTTCCCAGAGCTGCTATCAGTGATGAAAGTGACATAGAGACGGTTGCTGCTGCCCTCTATGACGGCCGATGGATAATGAGTACTGCTGTCAGGGCTACTTGACTTGTAGCCATAGTAAGTACCAATGATGTCCTGAGAAGGAGAAAAATAAGCATGTTCACGCGTTGTGCTCGTAATCCAAGAAATTCGTACAAAAGCCATAGGCCCCAATTCACAATGGAGGTTTAAATTTAATCTATGGTTTAAACCCTCATTTGCATAACCCATGGTCTAAAATTAGCGCTACATAAGCGTACCTTGCCTTGAGCGGGTCTTATATTGGACATCTGACTGTTCTGCGCTCATTTTGCGCTAATTTTAGACCATGGGTTATGTAAATGAAGGTTTATAACCATGGGTTAAAATTTAAACTTCCTTTGTGAATTCGGCCCAAAGAGAATAGCTGGGCTAAGAAGATGTTTTTCTGTTTAGTGGCATTATGATATTGCAGAACAGAATCTGTATACAGTATTTTAGGTTTTGATCATCAAAGAAAAGAAACTAATGATTGTGTAATTTGCATCTATCTTAAACAAGCAAAGGATAGTTATGTTCAATATTACTGTCAACATGAATCATCCCAGGCATCATCAAAATATTTGAAAACTTTGTTCCTATTTGATTTCAAGTTGTGCCATACGCATCGAGTTCACCACCACCAACTCACAGCTGATATGGAACCACCATCGTAGACAGTCACGTAGTCTCGAAGGTAGCCCTGCTCGATGTCAAAGGCCACGAAGCGCAGCTGGATGATGTTGCCTTCGGTCACGACAAGCGTCCAGCGGCAGTCCAGGTTGTTCTGGTACTGGTCCGGATAGTTGGGGGAGGAGAAGGAGCCGGACGGAGGGGGCATCTCGTGGATGCAGGTGGCCTGGCAGCCGAGCTCGTCCTCGTTGTTGACGCAGTCCTGGTTGCCGTCGCACTTCTTGTCCTCGGGGAGGCACTGGGACGTGATGCCGTCCATCTTCAGGCAGTAGATGGTGTGGGGCGGGCAGTAAGGGATGCCCGTCACAGGAGAAACAGAGGGTACTGGAAAGAAAACCAAATTTAGCAGAAGTCAGTAAGTGCTTGTAAATTTTTTTTTTAGTAGTCCTAGTGTCATTTTTGGGAATTGGGAATTTAAAACATACTGCAGGTGCATTAACTTGCAATTGTAGGTTTTTAGGACCGCGTTTCAAGTACAACCGTTTTATCGGTGCGGAATAAACTAAGTATATATGTCTTATCAGCAGTAAGGCTTCTGGGTCTAACTATAGAAGGCGTTCAGCACAGGCAGGTTATGCCCCCTCCCCCCTTCCCCCTTCCCCCTCCTCCTCCAAAAAAAAAAATATCCACCACTGCTTGCATTCTATCTTGTCTTACCTGTCTGGCATACATCGACGGACTCATCACTGCGATCCCCGCACTCGTCCATATTATTGCACAGCCACTCCTTAGGAATACATCTGTGGTTCTGACACAAGAACTCCAGCTCTGCATCGGGGCAAGAGTCCATATTTTGTTGACCTGTTGATTGATAAGATAACAATAATTATAATAGTGAACATTTATAATGCGCCATGTCTGTCAAAAATGACACTTCTGAAAAGTGGAAAAGAAGGCATTAACAATATTAACAATAACCAGGATTTATATAGCGCTATATATGAAAGACTGTCCCTAAGCGCTTTACATATGTTCATCCCGGTTGTCAGATTCATTCAGGCAAAATGTGCACCATGTCCACTCCCTGGGGAGTATTTCTTACATATGGTCACCATGAGAGCATATGGCAATTACTAACACAAATGCTTTTGTCATCCTACCAGCTCCCCATTTCACCCCTGGGTATGGAGTGGGAAATGCAGATTAATGGCTTCATGGAGAACAGGGGAGTATTTCACAAAGACTAAGGTTGACTTTAAGTTGGACTTAACTTTGGCAGGCTGTTTATGCCACTGTTTGCTCTCACCATTATGATACTATTTAGATCCAATTTTTCCCTTCAATAATGAACTGTCCAAAAATGTAAATTCTGTAGATTTGTGACCATGATTTGTAAGTCCCTTGAGAGACCAATGCCAGTAAATGGTGAGAGCAAACAGTGGCATGAACGGCCTGCCATAATTAAGTCCAACTTAACGTTGATCTTAGTCTTTGTGAAACACCCCCCAGTATTAATACTTACGAGGCTACCATGGGAAAACAAGACATATCATTAGTGGTAATAGTACAGTCAAACCTGCTTTAGTGACCACCTGTCCACAAAGACCCCTTTTTGTGTTTCCCTTGGGCGGTCGCTGTAGACAGGTTTGACTGTAGTAGTAGTTGGCCATCAGAACACCTACTTTTATAATAATCCAGCGAGAACCCTTTCCCAGCTACTTGTTCGTCGGATTGAAACCTGATGAGGATGTCCTTGCTTTCACTAGTCGGGTCAGAGATGTACGGGGACGGGCGCTCATATCCACAGTACGTCCTGATGGATTTCTCCTGGATTTGAAGCTTGTCTGATGTGCACTGTGCCCCGTCCGTTTGCTCGACATTGAATGCTTGAAAGCTGAAGAAAACAAACAAGTGAGGAATTCAGGAAAATGTCACTTAGAATTACATGTACAGTACTTGTATTTATGTTTAAGTGGGTATATAGAGGGCAGCACAGTTTCTCATTGAAACACATACATGTACTAGAGGAACCTGCACATACTGTAGAGACCATCTGCCCATCAAGACCACTTTTCTTGCCTGCCACAAGTGGTCTTTATAAATAGGTTTCATAATTTCATTTTTAAGTATCCTACAATACAATGTAGAAGAAATTCTAGATTTCTGCTCGGAGTTCAAGAAAAATAAAAAAAATAAAATAATTTTGCTTCCTAAAGAACAAAATTGCTTTACAAATTTGTTAGCCCTTAAGGGGATTGCATGACATATCAATAACTATTTTTCATAGTAAAATAAAATCATTACTTGACAAAGCCCTACTTGTAGGGCAAACATTTCTAAAACAATTTCTACGTGCACAGATTTTTGTGTACCCTACCATGTGCTTTTACAGTAGACGTAGATGTACATGGCGACTAATTAAAGGTGAATCATTACCATACAGTGCGAGTCAAAAGAAAGTTTACACCTAGAAAATTGCTAATTTTTTTAAAAATCATCTATGAACAGTAATTTATTATACATCTCATGAAAGAGTGTTTCATCCCAAATCATTTGGTATCATTTTTGTGTGGTATGTGTTCACGCTTGGATGAACAGGAGGCATTGTTTGAGAGAGTGCAAAAATCGACTTGTGCCAAAGTTGCTTATCTGATGTTAAAACAAAACACAATTGGAATTTGGGTATTAAATCTTTTTTTTTTCAGATCCAAATAACATCCCGACAAAATTAGACATGCCACAGATATCAAATATCAACGAACATTATTTTGTGCGCGTGTGTGACTTTGCTTCTGCATGGAGCATTTGCAATGTATTTCATTTGATACATTCAATTCATTCTCTCACTCCGCTAATCCCAACATAATACATGCTGTAGGCATCACTTTGGCGCAAGTCGATTTTTGCACTCTCGCAAACAATGCCTCCTGTTCATCCAAGCGTGAACACATACCAAACAAAAATGATACCAAATGATTTGGGATAAAATACTCTTTCATATTAAAGGGATAGTTGAGTTTTGTTTTCAGACCGCAAGTGCCTTCAAAGTGCATGGTTATTGCTCTTATTCTTATCTATGACGTTTATAGTGCCCTTTTAGAACCAAAAATTGCTATGAAGGTAATTTTAGACCCCAAAATGTGTGAAACTTAGCCAATTACCAATAGACCAGTTCACGGTTAGCACCTTACTGCAATGACCCCAAATATCCACAGATCTTCAAAACATGAAGAGGTCCCACTTTATACATTTTGAAATAATCACTCCTATAGCGATGGAGGTGCTTTTATAAATAGCCTTTGTTCCCCCTTTTCAAAGAATACTTTCACCTGTGTACCATGGAGTGCACTAAATGTGCATGAATGAATAATGTTACATAACATTCATGAGCACGTATCCAGCATGAGCACGTATCCAGTATGTATCCAGTATTTCAGCACGTATCCAATATTTCGTCTCCGTGTATTTCAAAATTTGTTCTGCAATGACCTTTATCTGCTCATGCTCAGACTGCAACCGTGAACTGGCTTATTCAGCTCCACTTTAACAAAAACACGGTGACTATTAATTAATTATTTCATTGAAAATAACAATACATGAGCCGGCTAATTGTGGGTAATATAAGCAACACGAAAATGCCAACAAAAAAGCCAACATCGACATTGGCTGAAATACTATTTACATGTAAAAGGCGTTATTTCGTTTTTTCAACGTTTTTTTCAAATTTTTCAAAATATCTAATATTTGTGGTGGTACACAAGTATTAGAAATCGTTATATTTCAGCCGTCTCTGAACCGATTTTGATCAAACAAAGATGATTTTGTCATTTAAATATTATGTTCTTTCAAATTTAACACTCAGTTTTTCATTTTCTCACAAAAAATTATTTTGTGTAGCGCCCTCTGCAACAGAACTCAACTATCCCTTTAAAGATGTATAATAATTTATTGTTTATAGAGGATTTTTTAAATAAATAGCAATTTTCTAGGTGTAAACTTTTTTTTGACTCACACGGAATACTGTAGTACTGTATACCTGACTTTTACACATGAGATACAAGTAAATACATATGGAAACATACAATGACTATGTCAGGACATACAATTACACCGTTTTTGTTTATACTTCATTTGGTGTGATGATATACTGAAATTCAGTACAACTTCATGTTCTCTACTACAAGTGTACATTCAACATAGAGATCACATATCAACATCTCATAATCAAACATATATACCGGTAAGCTAAATATAGACACAAAAGTGCAGTTTTCTATCACTTCCTCTTCCTTCTAATGAGACTGTAGTGATTTCCCCCTCTTTATCCCTTCCTAAAACATTAACCAGGAAAACGATCAGATCATCTATTAAAGCAGATTGACTTACGATAACAAATCACAAAATCGTTTTCATTTAAAATGTATGATTGCCTGTAAATGGAATTTTAAAATACACATGTACAATTGTACATGTGTATTAAAAGAGCTGTGCATGTACATGTATGTGACATTTTCTGCACACATAATATTTGCTAGACTCCCTATTACTGCATAATTCATGATAATTGTCAATACAGTTCTTCATTCTGTGAATAACCTTTGATTTAATGCAGACGTCATTGGATGAATATGGCTTTCTGCTTGAATTGGCCTTTACAATTCTCTATTTACAAAGCCTGGAACGGTTTCAATACTGATATTGTAAAGTTTTAGAAGAATTGAGGACGTTTCACTACCATATTTGTCTATGAGTACTATACACATGTACATGTACATGTATTTACTTGTGATATAAACCCAAAAGGGAAGTGCATGTAAAATGCATTGTCACTGCTAGAATTTCCTGCACTCCTGGTTTAAATTTGTGACTGCACAAGTAAATATAACGTGTAGACTGATTACATGTACCTTATTAAATAAACAGTCAACAACTAAATTAGTCATACTCCTTGTAAATTTGATGGGTTTTTGTTTTTCTTAACTTAAGAATGAAAAGTGGACAGGTTGTCAGGGCCTTTGTTGCATACTTATAGATGTAAGCTTTAATTTGTCACACTACATGTACAGTGTACATGTAGTCCATGCAGTTAGGCTTTCTCAATTATAACAGTAGGGTAAAGCTAAGACAGGAGCATCTTCCTGTGGACTTTAAAATTAAAAAGAAAAGTGAATTGAGATAAAGCAAAGGAGAGAGAGAGAGAGAGAGAGAGAGTCATTGTACTGTTTAAAAAGAGAAAGCACACATGAAATTAATCATGGACACAAATTTGATAATACCAATGTTGAATATAATGTCACCCACCCCCCTCCATTTTGTTCTCCTTCATAGTTTACCTTACCAACTGAGCACCAAAAAAGAAAGAGTCTAACACTAGGGCATATTCAATAACCAGACTCTTACACAAGACAGAAAAAGATTCAGGGGCGTACTGCACACTCTTTGAACTTTGGACTTGTGGTGGTGCACCTTCAATTTAGTTAAGCAGGAAAATGATTAAAATAACAATAAACTCCAATGTCAATCTTTCAAACTTTTGTTGACAGTCTAGAAGCTACTGCACCTTTTATCTATTGTACATGTAGCATGTGACAGCCACTACAGGTGTATGTACAGTATACAGTATTGTAAAAAAATATGTCCAAGATAGACTGCATGGAATGGTGGTCAAAGACTCAGTATACTACCGTAAAACCATCAAATTTTATGTGCTTGAGTGGACCATTTTTGTAATGTGATAAAATTTATTACATAAATCTCTGTTTCTTACATGTATGTACAGTACATGTATCAAAGTGCCTCGTTACAAATTATTGCATTTCCTTTTATGAATAATTGTATTTCAATAGTCAGAATGCGAATTGCATGTACCTAATGTAATAATTCGCATTCTGACTACTGAAATACATTTATTCATAACAGGAGAATAAAATAATTTGTAACAAGGCACTAAAGGTACTACAGTGTACATGATGTATGTCCCATTTGCAGGTCAAAAAATGGAAAGGTTAAATTCCAACTGCATTTGAAAGACAATAATTGTTTAGAACTTCCCTCAAAACGAAAGGGTTTGAAACTGGCTTTTTGTGGGAAAATAACGACCATCAGTTGTCATATTGCAGTGGGTGATTGCAATCGCCTAAGTAATAGTGTGATTTTCAGACCCTTGTACCAAATGGTTGTATGTTTTGTGCTGCCCAAAGATTGAATCAGTTTAATTTGGGTCATTACAAGTAGTGGGTTATTAATGTAGACAAATGGTCATGTACATGTACAGCTCATTACAGTGTATATTTTACCAAAGAAAACAAGATGTCAGTCAGTCACTCAATAGTGTCTGACAGGAGAGTCTAGAAAGTAAACAGGTTCCCTTGCATAATTTGAATACTAGGACACTGCTAATGTTTAAATCTCACAGATAGGACATACATGTACATCACATACATTACATGTACTCATAATTCCTGCAAAGTTCTATAGAATTTGGTGTTGGTTGCAAAAAAGACATAGTATCTTTAAGAAAGATTTGTGCATTAAATTTCGTTACATTACAAAAAATGGCCAATTGTTTGTGAATTATGCAGTGGTTCATACGTATGTATTCACGAAGGTGTCATGCTTCGAAAAAAAGGAATCACGACTGGAACAAACTGAAATTATTGATATAAGCAAAAGACTCATGCAGTGAAATTTATGACCCTTATCAATCTGCAAAATGTTCAAATCACAAAGTTTCTAGAACGTGAAATTGAATTTCTAAAAGGTCCATATTTTTTAAAGTACATGTAAATAAACCACAATATATTTTGGGGAAATTGCTAAGTTTTGCCATTAAAAAGAGCCATAATTTAGCAATTTACAACAATTTTGTATCATAATATTTCTGGTTTCACAGGATATCAATGTTTCAGTTTGTTTCCCTGCAACACTTTTGTATGCCTATTGTAAACAAGATGTTAGGAATGTGAGCTAAGGAAATTGTAGGAAAGTACCGGTATGTAAACAAGCAAAGTATACATTTACATATATGTAAATATTGGTATACTATTACTAAAGGTATCAATAAAATATAATATGAGTGTAGTTTAGAGCCCTGCCTGTACATACAGAGCTATTACTGACTAGCATTTTGGAAAAAATATTGACTAAAATGTATTTGTACATCATGAACCGGAAAAAATGGTACACAACGTACGAGTACAGTATAAATACTCAAGAACTGGAAAAATGTCCGAGACCAGTTTAAAGGCAAAGATCAGTTATGGTCATGCGATTGTATTGTGAAAGAAACGTTGTGGAATTGATCAGAAAAGGTTGATCATCTAGCATCTAGCATCTGCAAGGTTCTGGAATCATCAAAATGATAAGAAATTTGGCCCATTCTTCTTAAAGTTACAAGCACTATACACAGAAAGATGTATATGGGACTACCCTATATCTATCACAGACCATGAGAGAAACAAATTTACCAAATATATGAATTAGTAGGCGGTTTCCCAGCAAATTTTTTATCATCATGCTATTAGTCAAAACATATTCTTTCACATGATTGGTAATGAGAGCTTCCATTTCATTTTTTGAAATTGGAGCGTTTCCAATACTGGTCTTTACCTTTAACATTAAAAGGAAAATGGGAAAGAAAGGCATTAATTTGAATCTTACCATTCATGTACATGTGCAATCAAACCTACATTTACCTGTAAGTAAATCTGCACAGAGGTTTTGGCCTAGTACATTGTACATGTACACACTGTTCTGTACAATAAAAGCAGTACATGAATTCTACATTGTGTACATTGTTAGAGGACTTTCTGCCACCATTTATTACATTTGCGTAATAAATGTAAATGTAGTCCCAAAGTCATATTGTACAAATAAAGTTGATTGGGCTAAGTTTAAATGGAAAAATAAATTTAAGGGCCAACCCCCGGCCCCCCCACTCCGAGAACGGACAGACCCCATGCGTGTTGCCAAAATATCGGTTGGAACATGCATATGCGTACCCTAAATAACACTGAGTGGGGGGCCGGGGGCCAACCTGAGATTCAGAGCTTTACAATTTTCTAAATCATTACCTCACAGATCCTGCTGCTCTGATATTTCTCTTGGTTTGGTTGGTTGGTTGTTGATGCTGTTTTGTTTTGTTTTAATTTTGTAGTACTGGATACTAATGTACATTATTGCTTGTACATGGTTGTACTGTACATGTATATACATTACATTCTAGGTCACTTTCAGTCTGGCATTGTATCAAACAGTTTTCACTTTCTATTTACATTTCAAATGTTCATATTGATAAATAACTTAATATGAAACATAAACCAATTTCATCCACACTTTCATTTCAAAAATGATAAATTATTTTCACTTGAAAACCCCATACATGTACATGTACGTATTGGTACTATAAGGATTGATTCACATTGCATATATTGAATCAGCAAATAATATTGGTAAAAACAAGGAAATAAAATTTAAAATCAGTTTCATGCACAAATATTAAACAGTGTGCATGTCAATGAAAAAAGAAAGTGCATTCTCTATTTGAACAAAATAATGAATGTACAGAAACTAGTAGATGTATAAACAGAATTATTGCACAGACTACAATTCTCGCTATCGCCGATACCCCCAAATGCACGGATGTTACATGCTACAGCTACAGAGGGGAAGATAAGTTTGAAATCAAAGAATAATTACAAAATGATGGACATGCTGTCACATGCAGTGGGATTCCCTAAGTATTTCTTCTCAAACAATCCTTACAGACACACCTAAGATATTCCATTTTTCAGATTCGGGTAGTGGGACCGCCGATTACAACGCTAAAATGTGATATTTAAAGATACATTTTCCATTGCAAATGTGGTTCTCCAGTGACTCTGCCATGTTATTGTATGTGTGTGATTTGTGATATGCTGTTATGCAATGTATTTTAAAGGGATTTTACCATGCATCCAACGGACCGGCCGAAAACTGCCACCAGCCCCCAAAAACCCTCCTTTACTCTACATGTATTTTTGTGATTTATAATTTCATCAAAATAAATAAACTATCATTATTATTATCACTATTTTTATTTTTTTGTTATGATATTAATCATAATAATAAAGATAGTAATAATAAGACATGCATGTACAGTCAACCCTGCTTTAGTAACCACCTGTCTACAAAGACCACCTGACTACAAAGGCCACATTGGTTTTTTCCATTGAAAATGGTTTCTCATTGAGACATGTACTAAAGGAACCTGTCTACAAAGACCACCCGTCTTCAAAGGCCACTTTTTGTGTTTCCCTTGGGCGGTCGCTATAAACAGGTTTGACTGTATATGAAGCAAAGGATTAAAGTAGGCTTACCTGATTGTCACAACTTCCCCAGGGTCATGAAAAATACGCCACTTGCACTGGGAACCAGGAGGGTATTCGTCGGGGTAGTTAGGGCTGGTTATCGTCCCTCTCTGTTCGTGTCTGTCTGGGTCGTATTCTGGACATGCTACTTGTACTAGGGGAGCTGAAACAGATAGAGAAAGACATGTACATGTTAATGCATCAATGATCATTATTATAAGCTTTATTTGGCAATATTATAGCAAAGTACTTTTTACTACTTGGTGTCTTACTCAATCACACCTACAGTTTTAAACCGTATTTTTCAAACTAAACATTATTTTTTCTTCAAGTTTTAAGCCCAACTGTACAAGGCTATCACATTTTTTTCTTAAAATAGTATAAAAAGCAATTTCACATGGCTTATTATGCAGCTATTTTTGCAAGAACATGTGTGTAGAGGTCTATATGTGCATGTACATGTAAACATACAAATCGTATCCGGACACCTACATGTACCCCCTGGACATCCACCCCCAGTCAACTACCCCCTAGGGCAGCTACCGCCTAGGACAACTACCCCCTAGGGCAACCACCCTCTAGGACGACTACCCCCCAGGACAACTACCCCCGGACAACTACATGTACCCCCTGGACAATTCCCCCAGACAACTACCCCCTAGGAAAACTACCCCCTGAACAACTACCCCCTAGGACAACTACCCCCCGGACAATTCTCCCAGACAACTACCCGCTAGGACAGTTGTCCGGGGGGTAGTTGTCCTTGGGGTAGTTGTCCTAGGGGGTAGTTGACTGGGGGTGGTGATCCGGGTTGGATGTCCAGGGGGTATGTACATGTAGGTGTCCTAGAACCCTCATGAAGAAGAGAAAAAGGAGCATTAAATACTTAATTTTCATGACTTCTTGTAGTACATACATATTGTATAAAGGAAATCTGTTCCCAAATCTACAGCCAGGGTAGAGTATACCAGTACCTACAATGTACAGTAAATCCCTAAATTGAATATTTCCAAGTCACTCAGCAATGCTACATGTAAAGTACATACATGGTCATGAATGTAACCTGGATTGTACTTCAATAGATTTGGTGATTCTTTTTGCCCCATGTACTACAGTGCTAACTACAAAGTTTGTTTAATGGGAAGCTACAAACATGCATAGTTGCCTACATGTAGTACCAGTAGTATTGTATTGTCTTCTGTTCAAATCCTTACCGGTGGAATACACAGTCTGCATGAATGATGGAATCAATATCAGGAAGAATATCTGCTGACCTGCATAAAAGAAAAGGAAACAAAAATCAGGGCTTAAATTAATCCAAGGCCGCCAAGGCCATGGCCTTGGATGCCCCTTTGATTGGCCTCAATGCCCCTCTCATTGGCCTTGGAGATTTGTTGTGCCCTTTCCCATTTCCCCCATTTGTGCTTTAATATAGGAATGTGCCCTACATAAAAGTGGCCTTGCCCTAAAAATGTTGAAATTTAAGGCCTGAAAAATAGTACAATTGCTTCTTAATAATAATCTTAAATCTACAAAATATATGTACATGTACATAAATTAAAAAACAACAAAAACAAACATTACAGTACATTTAGGCTACACGTATGTAGGTCTCGATCAATATCATGATATGCATGTACATGTACATTGTACTAGTATTGTACATGTACATGTTAGATCTGCATGCATACTAAACCTTAACTGTGCATTTTAAGACCTTACATGTATCCAAGTTACATGTAATGTGTTAAAACTTAAGAGAAGCATACATGTAGATGTTGAATAGAATGTGTGAAATATGTAACATGCAATTATGTGTACACACAAGTAACATGACAAGTGTTCAGTCAGGAAAATACATGTATTGCATTTTTTAATTTTTGTGTGATGCATTTAAAATTCGGAATTCATTTCAGGAAATGTTTTCATGCACATGCAGCCACAGGTTTATGTGTACATCATTGCATAGGGCCTAGACCTCAGTCTAAATGATTCTAATGCAAGTATACATAAGTAAACATAGATTTATGATTAAGGCAAAAGTATATCAATATCATAACGATAGTCATAATAATTATGGTCTATAGTATTGCCTACCTGCAGTTAGTAGCCTAGTATTAAGTAAAAAATGTTACTTTTTTGTTTGACAGAGTAAGTTAGACACTGCACATACATGGAACTTGTCTTTAGCTTACAATTTTTGTAAGTTGGCGCCTAGCCTAGTCAACATGGGCCCTTCAGATTGGCTAACGCTGTTCTCCATTCACCCAATGCTACGAGATATTTGTGCGAGGAGCAAGCTTGCAAATTTCCGTTTTTTTTTCGATACCAAAATTATATTTCAGTCAAACCCTGAAACCCTCCATTTGTTATGATTTTTTCAAATATCTCAGAACAAATTTCACTTAAGTTTAAGTTTTACAATTCTCATTTTCGTCATCTTTAAGGTAGAAATCTACCTGTACAAACTGGAAATTTATTCTGAGATGTTCTTTCATTTTTCTATTTTATGTGTTTGCAATGCTATGTGTGCGTCAGTTATGAGTGAAGTGCTTCTTCTTTTCTTCTTCTTCTTCTTCTTCTTCTTCTTCTTCTTCTTCTTCTTCTTCTTCTTCTTCTTCTTCTTCTTCTTCTTCTTCTTCTTCTTCTTCTTCTTCTTCTTCTTCTTCTTCTTCTTCTTCTTCTTCTTCTTCTTCTTCTTCTTCTTCTTCTTCTTCTTCTTCTTCTTCTTCTTCTTCTTCTTCTTCTTCTTCTTCTTCTTCTTCTTCTTCTTCTTCTTCTTCTTCTTCTTTCTTCTTCTTCTTCTTCTTCTTCTTCTTCTTCTTCTTCTTCTTCTTCTTCTTCTTCTTCTTCTTCTTCTTCTTCTTCTTCTTCTTCTTCTTCTTCTTCTTCTTCTTCCTTTTGAGTACAGACCTAATACAGAGTATTATCGTACTATACTGGGGGTGTGTGCAATCTCTGTGGAGTGACGTAATATTACGTACTACCTTTGCCATTGAACTTAAGTTGCGCATAAGTTAAGTAGGCCCTCTCTCACTTAAATTCAAAGCCACTCGAGCGAATCGGCCAATGAGAGCACGTAAACTCACAGTAAAGCGCTCAATGCGCACAGTTCTTTGTGCACTCAACATGCTGAAAAGCGTTATGCATTAGAAAATAGAATATGCATTTATTTTAAAAAACGGCTTAAGGACAATTTATTTACAGTCTAGCCTCTAGGAAATAAACATATAATACACCATTAAGCAGTTTAATAAGTCATTTTCAATCGTACACAAACTTGTTTTTTTTTAGTTGATTTCAAATTCATGTTTGTTTGGTTAATTCATCAATTTATTAATTTTATATTGAAGTTTTGAACAATTAATACTATAGGAATAACTAATGAATGAAAAGCCTGAAACCTGTATTACTGAGAATTTTTGAGAATATTCTTACCATTCAAATGGGCCATGTTTGACGAAACTTTGAACTGTTTACTATTGCTGATCCAAATCTAGATTACTTCTAAGTTTGTTGTCTTTTTGTAGTTGTACCAGTCCGTGTCTGACTACAGGCGGCGGGTCCTCACATCACGCGGCGTTGCGAAGAAGCTCCGTCTATTCTGTGATCTGTCTCTGTTCTCGGTTTTAAATTTAACTCCGATCCGCTGTCATATAAATTATTCACTACTTGTTGAGAGAAGGGTCATCTTCATAAAATCCAAATGACAACAGTGACGATGTCCAGTATGTCATGAAAATAATATCAACAAAAAATTGCCTAAAGACGCCGGTCATAACATGGTCACGAAATCATCTTCCGTGTTGTGTCAATGCATTTTTACACAATCTTTTTTCTGTACCATTAATATCCCCGTATATGACGTCATGATTACTTTACTAGTCTTTGACAGAGACTCTGTTTCAGAAAAAGAGTATGCTAGTATTATGATTTCGATATTTGCGTCATTCCCCCGGAAAAGTACCCCCCCCCCGGAAAATTACCCCCCCCCCGAAAAACTTCCTCCAAGGACAATTACCCCCAGAAAAACTACCCCCAAGGACAATTACCCCAAAAAGTGCCCCCGTGGACAATTACCTCCGGGAACAATATACCCCACCCCTGAAAATAACCCCCTATATAGGACAACGTATACCCCCTAGGACAATCAAGAACAATCACCCCGAGGACAATTACCCCCCCCCCCCGAAAATTACCCCCACCCCTGAGTAGGGCCTAGCGGATAGGGCGGCGGCGTGGTCAAGTCGTCTTCTAGACTTTTCTTGTCCTTTTCCCTTGGCTATTCTTTCCCTTCTCCCAGTTCTCGCTCAGTTAGGCAGTCACGTTTTTTTACCATTCGATTACACTGATCCTTATGTGGGGGGAGGCCCCCCCCCCCCCCACTCAGTGTTATTTAGGGTACGCGTTTATGCTCGTTGCCTCTTTTTGAAAGCACCCCCTATCTGAGGACTGCCAACATTTCCGAACCCCCCTTTCGCGGGCCGTTTTCCTGCCGTTGGAGACCCCCCTAAATACGGAAAAATGCTCAATGTACCCCCCTAAATTCGGAATAATTTCTCAGGAGTCCAAAGAGATGAGAGAAAAAAAGAAAAACACCCCCTTTTTAAAGAAATCTCCGGGTGAAAAGTTAAATACACCCCTTTTTTTACAATTCTCGGGCCGGACTTTGTCGCACGAAAAGTACCCCTTTACCGGACATTTTGGTAACAGCGGCATGCAGTCATTCCGACCCCAAGGTGGGGGGGGGGGCCGGGGGGAGGGGAGGGGGTTATGATAATCGTATTATTCATTATTTTGTGATCTAAGTGCCTACACTCCGGGTATTGAATTTTGCTTATTTGCGAGATTCAAAAGTTTGAAACTGAGCTATTAATTTTGATACACGCACACACACGCACTGATGAACGAAAAAGAGAATGAAGTTGTATGCGGTTAAAACTTAAAAATAAAGGCTATGTTAGATGTAATTCATCGAGCGGTTGCGGCCCTGTTTTATACAAACGAAATGGAATATTCGTGGATCGAGGTAAATCCACACACAACCTGTCCGCCTCAATGCCTCTGCCCATGCTCTGCCACTGCATCCAGTCCGCATCCATGCAGTCTGCCTGTGCCCCCCCCCCCCCCCCATGACTGTGGAACTTCATGCTCACCCCAATCCCCCCCCCCCCTTCAAAGATAAAAAGTAGAGCCCTTGTCTTAGAAAGGGGGCATCAATCCATCTTATTACAAACAAAACGTAGGGATGCTCGAGTGTCTTAAAATCGGACATGTTTACCGGCAATCATCTCATCCTAGCCTTGCCAATACTTAAAGCTTGAATATCTCTGTTTGGGACTATTTTCAAAGACTATCAACCGGACTCTCCTCGCTCCTCTACAATCGCCCTATGAATAATCGTACCAAAACGATTCGCACCTTTTGCTTTTGAGATTATAGTACATGTAATTAATTATAATTATTTGTCTCTCTAGCTCTCACTCCTTTCTGTTTTTTGAAGAAAACTTTAAACGGAGTGTATTTAAGAAAAAATATGGTAGCTTCAATGGTTCAATCTCAAAACTATCTACAATTATGTTGACTTGGTATTAATCGATCGCCTCCCTCCATTTTCAAAAAATCAAGAAAATTGCCCTCATAAAAATTATGGCACAAAGATCAAATGCCCCTCTATCCCACGTTAAAATATGTCTCCACCCTGTCCTCCCGGAATGAACTTCCCCTTCCGGCCTTTTTGATTGATTTTATTCATTGCAGTTTTCCTGACACTGAGACTGTCACAGAACATCTAAATCAGCTATTGCTTTTGTAGACTCGGATGTTTGATGTCTACCAGGCAAAACGTGCCCCCGTCCCAAGTCAAAAAAATCCCGGGCCCTCCGACGTGGTGGAGTTTGTGCACTTATTGTAGTAAAATTACCCGTTGTCTAAATAATTATATTAGTTAAGCCCTTCCATGACAAACAGATGCCTTTTTCGTTTACCGGTGGACCTATTCCTTTATAGTTTGGTGCATGGGCCCGTAAGTTTCTCAATTTAGGTCTACATTAGATAGTGTCATAGTTCTATTCTTGTCTTTTTTATTCTCTATAAAAGTTATAACTTTAATTCTCAAACAGAGATGGGCGTAAGAGTCGGGCAGGAGTATTCGTGCTTAGCCCCGGAGAAATCTGAAAAAACCGTCATGACCTCCTCATTGAAGAGTTTTTTTTTGGTATAAATCCGCCAGTAATGTTTTTTTTCTTCCATACGGGGTGCTTGAAGGGATCATATAGCTAGAACATTGATAACTAGGCACTACTCCAGTCACATCGTGTGATTTTCAGTTTGAACTCAACTTTGTCCTTGGTAATTTCTAAAATTTGCGGGAAACCTTGAAAAATCTAAATGTTGTGTTTTGGTTTTGTAATAAAACCAATTAATTTTGTCTGATCTTGAGGTTGTCGTATAGGTCTAGTAATTTCAATTCCTTAATAAAAATTGGCTATTGGTCTGATTGATTGATTTTTATTTGCCAAATTTCCCAACATACAACAATTATGGGCAAGAACAACAAATCAAAATTAGGCCAGCTTGAACAGGATAGCCCACAAAAGCTCGAAAGCTTATTTTTAGTGGAGTCCCCGACATTATGTCATGTACAAAATTAATAAGTTAAAATAGTAATATTTACAGTCAGATAAGAAAAAAAAAATATATTAGATGATAATGATGATAATAATAATAACAACATTAAACTGATGCCTGATAGAAATGATAATAAGTATAAGACAGAAGAAGAAGAAGAAGAAGAAGAAGAAGAAGGAGTAGAAGAAAAAGAGGAGGAGGAGGAAGAAGAGGAAAATGATGATGAATATGTTAAGTTTCTCTTTTAAGTCAGTTTAAAATAGAGTGAGATATTGAGCCGCGATATAGACATAATTTTATTTGATTTAGACCTAATGCCTTCTTTATTCGACATAAAAGGTTACCTACAAGATACAAAACTATACAAATATATTATGCATATTATACATGAAACCATACCAAAACAATATCGTAGACCTCTTTCTGAAATATATGGCATGCACAAGGCACATATAAAACACACAGAGCACAGACCAATACTATAAATACCAAAAACAGAAAAATGAAATGTACAAAAAAAATTTAAAAATGTAATAGATATCTTATGCATTATACATAAAAATCCAATAATTTAGACTAAGAACCTCATATATATTTGTTTCCGTTACCTGCTCAATTATTTCATTTCATGGTAATTGTATCATTTGGTAAATAATGCCAAATGAATAAAAAAATTAAAAAAACACGTTTAGCTTCCTGCCTTTTTGAAAATTAAGGAGGAGGACGGGAGGAGAAGGCCCTTTTCTTTTTGCTCAAAATGGCCGCTCAAAATGGCCGCTCGGTGCATTTTTCCTGACAGTCGGGCTTTTTTTCAAGATGGCCTCCAGTATTATTTTTTTAAATTTTAAATATAAAATAGATCATTTTGGCAGCATGTTTTGTCATGTTTTAATTCATTGAAGAACAGAAGACAAAATAGGAGGCGGCCCCCCTCCCCCAAAAGGAAACGGACGGGGACGCTAAACATGTATATTTTTTTTACATGGTCTAACATTGCATTGCCCATTGCTATTTAGCGTCCAAACTCAGAATGAGCCCCGAAAATGCCATTCCAGCCATATTTTTTAAATAAAATAAAAATAAAAAATAGAATTTAGAGCTTTCACAACAAAAGAAAGACATATTTTTGCAATATTTATTATCAAAAACAGTGTATTTCTAATGTGATATGTAGCACTTGTTTGAAGTTATAACAATGACATTGTCGATCAAAATCCGGGTCAAAATCTCAATCACATTTTGACATATCAAAATCATTTATACTTAGTAAAACATGTCGTAGATGAATTACTTAGGTTTTCTCTAATAAATGACAGGGTACTGTGCTTAATTGATGTGCTCAGTATTAAAACTAATCCGATAATCCCTTCAAAGAAGTTTATTTAAATTCTTCTGTCACCTTCACAATACCTTGTGATAGGAAAACCGGTTTAACACTGGTCTTCGAGCCCGGTAATCTTCTTTGGGACTAGAAATTCTTTCTTTTTTTTGTGGATAATTATCAAATTGGGATAATTTATGTTCCATTTCGTAGCTCAAAATTGCCTCTTTTGGAATCAGAATTTTAATTTAAAGTTCATAATTATCTGGCAACTTTTTGGTGGGTTTGTGGTGTCTGGATGAAGGCGAGTCAAATGTTTTTTTTCAGCCGAATTTTCTATAGGCCGAGCTAGAATAAGGACGATTTATACAATACAAAAAATCTCGCAAGTATCGGTTTCTGAAAAAGGGAAGTCATTTCCTAGGTATGTGGGCTGTATTTACAACATGGCTTTATTAATTGAGTGAAGTCAATATTTCTTAATGATCAGAACATGAGGATGAAACTGTGACTTCATCTTTCTTTTGAAGTTGGTAAGAGAAATACGTTTTTATTAGGGCGTTAATCCGCGCTAGAAGACAGAAGTAGCCCTTCGCGAGTTGAATGAATGAGGAGGACGGATGATCTGAATGAATGAAGTGTCGTCGATCGTCCTGGGTGGGCCGTGGTTGGCTGAGTGAGACTGAGAGCGATAGAGACTGAAACAAAATATGGAAAAAAGAGTTAGAGGTGAACATCATGAAGAAATGCTGCTATTAATAGTATTATATCAGAAAGCAGATATTGATGTTAGGTGTTCTCGGACAAGACCTCTAGTTCTTTTCATCTTTTATATTGTTTTTTAAATTCAAGATATTCTAATTTCTGATTCTGGTTGGTGACTGAGATAAACATGAAAGTGAATTTATTTTTATAGTGAAATAGGTCTAGATCTAGGCCTAGACTATATTTTAAAAAAATAAACACCCTTTGTTTCAATCAAACGGCATGAATGGAGTATAATCATCCCAAGCAACCTGTTCTTATTCCAAGAGTGTACAGAGATGATTACATTAAAACATTGATGGTTATTTGTAAGCCATTATTCTGGAATCATTTTGATCTCATGTTCATGCGAAGTCTTGGAGTAGGACACACCCATCTTTATCATCATCTTAATACTAGGGTTACATGGCAACAGAACAAGTCCCATGGGCAGCAGAATTGATACACTATGGGGAATTTATAAGGGCAGCTTTAACATTTACCAGGAATCTTTTTTACATGATAGCCTTGTTCTTTTACAAGTTAAAATACCATCCTTTTTTAGTCTTCGTGGAGTGAATTTGTACTTTTGTGCGATGTTGTGTGGTGTGCCACGCTGCATGTGTAAGTCACGTTTATGTAAAGTATTATTAAACCTAAAAAGTAGAATGTCTTGATTGAACACATTCTATTCATAGAGAAGACTTGACAATGAATTTGAAATTATGAAGGTACCTTCATGTATTTTTTGTTTCTTTCAAGAAGGTAAAATTTGTACTATTTCTTGTTCAAAGCTTATTGTTCAATGGTAAACAATCAAGCATGCAATAAAACAGTGAAATTGTACTAGACCTACTGTACATGCAAATGTTGCCATTCTGGACAAACGGCAAATACTCTAAATTTTCTCATATTTTCTTTTCTTTTCTTTGATATGATATCAGGGAGTGCAACTTAAAGGAAGAACTTAAGGAGAGGAGATTCAAGAGGAGAAATGTCACATTGCTTCCATCTCTAAACAGACCGCAATACATTCATGATCGTCTCCGCTTGGTACTCCTACATTGTGCTGCGAGAGACGGTCGTGCGGAAGTGGCCGTACATTGGGCCAGCGATTTACCGTTTCCTCTGGCATTGCATCAATACCATGGGCAACTCATGTATCAGTAAGGACCACAGACGTAGGACTCTTGAGCATGGTGGCACCACTGCAAGTGGGGGGAATGGCAGCGGTGGTGGACGTTATTCTGAGACCGATTACCCCTCTTCACACAGCACACCTACAAATCACAACTCGGAGCAATCGGGACAGTCCCTGAATGAGAACAGGCAGGCCCGGGCTCAGGTCACGCCCCTGTACATGCTGGCTTCCAGAGACATGGCGGCCGCGCAACCTACCTTTACCTCGGACATTTCTCACGTGAACAGCAGTGATGATGAGGAGACAGAGCATGTGAATCAGCTCATGTTAAGGACGTTGCAAGTCATTAGAACTCTTGTGGATAAGTAAGTGTGTTTGCAGCTTTAAACCATGGAAATTTATGTGGGTGTGAAACCTGCCTCTACATTTTGTGCTATGATCTATCATGGTATTTTGCATCCGTGTCTACTTTCTTGTCATTCCTGAAGATGCATGATAGATTTTACTTGTGTCCTTTTGGAAGTTGAAAGCAATTTGCTCTAAAGTTTGGATTGCTCTTCATATTAATGGTCGTTCACATCAGTTGATCATGACAAAAGTGAAATTATCACAAGTCTTAAAAATGTACATTACTGGAATACTGGGTACATGTATGTGGCATTTATGCACAGATTAACAATACGGTCACAGCGTCACAGTTGCTGCAATTAAATCAATGTGTGTGTACATTACTGTACAATGTTGGTTACTATGCTAATGAGATATTTATAAGCAAATAGAGAAATCTTTCATGAAGTTATTGGTGACATTTTGAGGGTTCAGTGAAGTGGAATGGACTGATTGGTGAATTTAATTACCTGATAAAAAAATAGTTGTAGTTAACTTTAAATGTCCTTTACCGGTAAGAAGACAGATTCTCAAGAATCAATGATTAATTGCATCTACATGTAGGACTACATGTAGTATTCATGTACATGTACATAAACATTGCGTGATGCATGCACAAGATATGATCTTCAAATTTTAATTAAATTTTAATGAATAACAAATAACAGCCCATCCATAAAAAATTGTATACCAGTAGGGTTAATTTGCATTCATGAGATATTCTGTAGCATCAGTGTTCAACACAACGTGGCAGTCACAGGAACTGACAGTTATCCATGCCCCAATCGAGTACCACTTGTATTGGTTAATATCAAACTTTTTGCCATATGGAGGAGTGGGATTTTCATGAGACTCACAGATAAAATATGGCTTGTCAGATAATTCATTTTAGATTCTAATAGCTTTTTACAGTAAAATAATGCCAATTTCGCCTGTTGTACAGTGAATGGATATTTTCAATCTTGCTTGTACCGGTACAATTTAGAGAGTCTCTTTATTTTAGTAAAAATGTAGAAAACTGGGAACCTTTTCACACAAAAAAACCTGTGACAGTTTCACAAGTTTTCCAGATACATGAAGTCGTATGCAACAAAAAAATGCACATGATGTGCTTTTAAAATTGTTCCAGAAAAGGAAACGAGTCCCCACACTTCACGTTGTAGTTGATGATAGTTTCTTTCCACAGATATAGCCTTCAGAATTTTCTAGTTTTACAGTTTTATCGCAGTTGAGGGATTATTCTGATTGTTCAGATAGAATGTTATGTGGCAACATACAAGTTACATGTAGATAAGTATTAGCTATTTAGCTGTCGTATGGAAATCTTTAATTGGTAATTTACAGGTCTGTTTTTTTTTTTAAAGCTTTATTCTTTTCTCTAAACTTCACAGTGAACAAGAGCCACCCTATGCTATGCTGAGATTACATGAAATAGCTGAAACAGGTAAGTCCACAAAATTTACTTTAAGGTTTATAGTAGGCCCATTCACACACACACACACCCACACACACCCGCACACACCCACACCCAAACACAATAACAAGAATAATAGAAACCAACAAAGTAAACAAACAGACGGTATGAGTGTTTTTTATATTTTTACCACAATCCAGAAATCACTTCATTTTGTTCTTGCAACAACAAAAAACAAAAAAATGAGATTCTGGTTGTGGTCCAAAAAGCAGTTTTGAAATCTTAACTAAGTGATCAGTGTGTGAAAGGTCCTCTATAATTCCTCATGGCAAGCTAGCTACCGGTACTCAACTACATGTATGTGAGCAATGTTAGCAAAGTTCTTTGTATGGAAGTAGCACACTGACTTTTAGTGGCCAATTAGCCTGATTGTGAAACAATGCCTTTAATAAGAGCTTGGAGTTGAATAGTTTTGTATAAATGACCGTTAAAAATCTACATGTACATGTAAGTAGCTTTATAGGCTGCTGCTGTGTAACCCAACCATTTTGTTTTCCCCTGAATTATTCTGTTGCTTTCTCAAAATTACGGTAGTTATGTTTTTTCTTCATAAAATATATTTTATTTTTTGGTGTTGTTGTTGTTGCACATACCGCACGTCAACCAGTTCCCCTAAAATGTAGATCACTACTTCAACAGAAAACTTTAGTAGAGATTTATAAAGAGTACGAATTTACAAATAGAAGAAAAAACAAATGAAAGGCGTAAATATTTTCAAAAGAATAAAATGCTGATAATACTTGTAAAAAAAATTATAGGTCCTAATATGGAAATATCATGAGGAATGTAATTTCTGCATTGGAAGTGTGTCGCGCGTGGTTGTAAGTTTTGTTTTAATGATTTCCTTTTTTTTTTGCTTGAAATTCCTTTTCTGATGCCGTCATGGTTTCTTTTTTTGTTGCACAAGGTTAGCATTTTTGCCGGTGATAATATACATGGTTAGAATAGAAACTTTGTGAAAAAGTGGCAAATTTTCATTGAAAAGTAATGGTTTTGAACCTCACAATGTGTTGCCAATCTAAGGATTTTATTTTTAACGCTTAGTTTGCTTTTTTTAAAATTGCTTGCATCTAACGCAATACGATCATGCACCAAGAAAGAATGCAGTGTGTGTAGAAATTGTTCTTGCTACTGATTCATCTGGGGAGTGTTTCACAAAGATCCTAAGTTGAACTTATCTCTAAGTTGGACTTAAAATTTATGGAAAGCCATTAGCATCTGTGAAAATATATTGTAAAAGTTATTATAAAAGGCATTAATTGTTTATTCAAATCATTCATATTTGCTATCATCAAGGAGATTTCATGTTCTGGATGTGGAATTTATAAAAAGTCTAAAATACTTGAATTTCTGCTTTTGAATATATTTCATTTTAAGACTCCAATGGCTGTCCATATATTTAGGGCTCTGAATCAAAAGCTTATTGAGCCATACCACAACATGTGGGACGACTGTGTTTAAAGCCCCTCTAAAGTGTTGGGAGCCCCAAATGCGCCAAAAATTTGATGGCAAAATTTCACTTAAATTGTACTATGATACTAAAGAGGATGTCATTTAAAGCCTGTCTGCACTAGTTTGGCCAGGGGGGATAAGACCTCCCTGCGAGGTCACTGACAGGTGGTTATCTCATCGAATCAGCTCTCAATTAACATAAGAAAAAGAGGATCATGGCCTTCATGGGGGACCACCATGCACCGATTAGGCATTGTTTGCTAGATAGAGGGCGTAAGTAGCTATAAGTACATGTAGTGCAGTGGGGCTGTAAAGGAGTCTGATGATTAGACCAAGTACATGTAAAAGCATGTCTCTATATTGACTATTCATTACGTGTAGACATACAGTACATGTCCGAGACAGATTTAGATATTGAAACTACCACACTTTGAATTTCAGAGAATCCTGGTTTCAAATTGAAACCACCTTGTGGTTTTCAGATAGGCATATTTGATCTAGATGTGCAATTTATAACCCTCATAAAAGCATGAATAGATAAACCGGCTTTCGTGTAGACTCGTATCCAAGTATGGCCATTACATATGAGAGAAACACAAGAATGAGTCCCTATTCCTACATGTACATTTCATGAAAATGGAAAATTATTTTAGTGAAAGGAAAAATTATTAGTGAAATGAGAAAATATAAGGCTCATGGACAGTCATGGTCTTGTTTTTTCACCATCCCTAACTTTTGCAGTCAACATTTGAACAGTAAATATAGATCCTGGTATTATTGATTGTAGTAGTTTCGATTCTCTGAACGAGCCTACCGTATTCCGTCATGTACTGGTACATGGAATTATGGGCTGCCTGGGGGGTTTTCCCTTGAATCCCTTATGATGAGGTACATGCCCTTTTATGAGATACAATGTCTTGATTCATCGTCTCAAGAAATTGTTAACGGGAAATCCAACCTTGATAAGAAACTACTGTGTAGGGGAAGCAGAACGATCAGAAAAGTAGAATTGTCTAAGTTTGAATAAAATCTGACTTAAAATTATGAAAGAAATGAATTTTTTAAAGTTGTAAACTTGTAATCACTATAGGTATGGGCTCTTCAAATATTTATGTAAAACTATTCACTTAAAATCCCAAATTTGCAAAATACCAAATTTGCAAAATACCAGTGCCTCATATTCAAGATAATTCTTTGAATGAGATTATTTTCAAAATTAGGTAAATGTTGATCACCAAAATTGCCTTTATTTTCTAAAAGTGGATGGGGAGGGAGAAGGGGGGGGGGGGCGGCAGTGGCCTATTTTGTCATGCTCTTTTATTATCAAATGAAAAAGATACATGTAGTTTTATGATAAAGTTTCTTGATGTGGGGAGTCTTGGCAGTTGAATTGCTTACTCCGTCAATGCTCCACACTAACTTTCAGGTCCGGATTTCAAATTTTAGAGTCCGTAGGCATTAGCCCTATGTAAGATTTTTTTTTTTTTTTAATTAAAATTGGGGGGGGGGGGGGTCATGGCTGAAATTTTAGGCGGCCATGTTTCGCGGGCACTTGTCAATGTTGAGCCCTGGCTTACTCGTTTGAAAAATATTAATTCATAATTTTCATATTCATATCCAAGGAAGAAGTGTGTTTTGTCTGCTTTTGCACTGCATTATGATCTACAGTATACCCAGGCAATGTACTGCTGTTGTACATGTACCTCAAGGAAATTGTATAAGTTGCTATGTGACATGAATAATATACAGTATACAGTCAAATGTGCTGGTAGATGAGTTGGATTGATGTCTAATAGCGTGCTTGCAGCAAACAATACCCAAAACATCTTTTGATGTACATGTATGCAGGGTCTCTCCTTTCTGCTTGAATCATTCATGTTTAAGACCCGGGGGGGGGGGGGGGGGGGGGGGGGGGGGGGGGGGGATTATAGTCGGACGGGGGTGTGCGGCTGAGACCTCCGAACCCATACCCACATCCAAGGGTCCTTTTGCTGAAATAGGTACCCATGTCTAAGGATTTTTTGTGAAAAATGGACCCATATCTAAGGATTTCAAACGTCAAATATTACATTTTTAAAGCTGTAATAATACACTACAGCAAAGCATATGGAGAGTCAACGCTAATGCATATTGACCTTTAGCACTGCACTACGCGTTAATAGGCAGCATTTAAATACATGAATAGTCAATACACTCATAACACAGAGATGCACACAATCATGCCGATGCGGCTGATCGGCAAGTTCGACAGTGGACTCACAATTTGATTTTTTAAATTATTCTTTCTAACATCGGAAAGTTGAAAAAATGTATTTTACTGCTATTTAGATTTTATCGATTGTCACTAAAGTATAGATTTTTAGTGAAATTGGTTGAGTTTTATACAGTGGTGTTTGAAATGTTGAGAATCAATAGCACAGCTTTTAATACACAGCCAGGATAGTAATGCACCTATGTGTGTATTAATGCAATGGCCAAAAATTTTGCAGTTCTCGATAAAATTCTTTATTAGTAAACTGTACCATACAACATGTAGTTTACAAGTAGTTTACACACATAAAGATGAAAACACCATGCAACATAATTATACTGTGCTAGCACCTCTAGCATCTGTTCTAATTGAAGGACTTTTCCTGTTTTAATTAACGTACCCGTACACGAGCTCTCAAGCATTGGCTATATAGCTCCCTGCTTGAGCCCCGCTGCTGCCCGGCTGCTGGACAGAGGGTACGCAGGGTATAGCTGATGATCATATCATTTTCAGTGTGCAAAGAGCTACAAGTTTCCGGGGGTACGACCCCTATACGGGCGGATACCATACCTAGCGCGCATTATGCCATATGAGTACCCGGTATAGAGCCCATGGGGTCGTGATAAATGTGGTACCCCGGGATCTAGTTGAGTTTACGAGCTACTGCGTACACCTCGTACACTGGAAATGCAATCAACCGAAGGATTCATTTATTTAGAGATGGGAGAGATTTAGGCATTTGCAAGGTAGGAGAAAATCCCAAAATCCCGGAGAAAATGAGGGAGAAAAGAGGGGAAAGGAATAAATGAAAAAAGGGACCCATGTCTAAGGATCTTTCCTGAAAAAGTCACCCTTCCGAGCGGCACATCCCCGTATACCCAATATACGTGAGTACCCCCCCCCCCCCCCCCCCCCCCCCCCCCGGGTTTAAGACCCTGAATACCGGTAGTGAAAACATTTGTGTAGGAGAAAGTCAATGAAAAGCATGAATACTATTGTGATCCATTTACCTACATGTACATGTAAATTGTACATTGAAGATTAAAGGTATTGGTAATACAAAGTTTTAGGAAATTTTGGAAACTGGGTGGATAGTGAATCTTTACAATTTGTATACATTTGGATGCCCCTGTGGATTTATTATAAGCACTAAAACAATTAACCCCTAAAACACTTCTGTTTTTGAGAAAAATTGAATATAAAAATTTACCGGTGCTCCCGGTAAATTTTGACAAATTTCAAATAGCGCCTACGGCCGTACAATGGT